ACATCTTGGATGCCCTGGGGGTAAGCAGATAAACATCAAATTTTCATTTTTGGGTGAACTATCCCTTTAATAAACGTGCAGACAATATGATATTAGTCAAATAAAAGGCAGTTTAAGTGTATAAAGAGAGCACACATTTATGACTATGTTTAACACACTCAAGTACACACTTTTAAAAAGTGTACTTTGTAATAACGACGAACACTTTAAACCTCATGTTTAAGAATATTTTGTAAGACTTTAAAGTACACTTATTTTGATGTGTTAACTAACATAGCAAAGCCCACATAAAGTACTTGATTTTAATTTTAACAGTAGTGTTACATTTATTTTAAATGTGCAATGTTTTACAAATGTGTAATCACAAACGTATTTTAAAAAATGAAATACAAGTTTCAGTAGGAATGCATATATTTTAGTTACCATAAATGTTTGTCAGTACATTTGGCATTTTAACCACATTTAAAAGACAATAGAATCATGAAATTACAATTTACAATTATATGTATTAAAATGAGCACTTTTAATTTCAACGAACTGCATTTAATTTAAACTTACACTATAATGCATTTTTATTTAACTGTAAATAACATGCAATTTAATGTCCAAAAGCATTACATTCAGCTTACATTAAAGTACATTCTTTCAAAGTGTATTATTTCTATAACAAGTACTTTTTTGAAATCACGTTAAAGTGTACTTTCTATAAACTTGTTAGAACACTGAGCAAATTGAATCGAACGTATCAAATGGGTCTGATTCAAAATGACATACACTACACATAAAAACCAAGATGTATAAATTATATATTAGCCGTATTATTGTGTCTTACCTACAACACTATTACACTGGCAGTTGTTCAGAGAGGAGCACTAAGCTGTGCCACTGTACCAGCTGGATCAAAGGGAATCAATGAAGCAAAGTCCAGAATACACTGATACAAAGAGAACAAGGCAGGCTTTGTTTTGAGGAGCAAACAAACATATAGAATGCTGTTGTTGTGGTTTGGGGTGGAGGACTAAATATAAGCATACTTATAGTATAGGCTACTATATCCTATCATCAATGTGATTCTGAATTTATTGTATTTCTTAAATATATGTTGTTGTTTTTTGGCGTTATTTAATTATTTGAATCTAGTCTTTAAGGGAAAATGGCTTTTGCTACATTGACCACATACTGCCACCATGTGGTGTAAACCATTCCATACAAACACCACTCAACGTTCACGGTTTTAACAAACAAAACAAAAAAAATAAGCATAATAAGCATAAATTCCCTTATTTTGACAACTTCTGCCTGTTCTTCTGCAGGCTACGTGACATACACAAACTGTTTCGATTGGTCTTAATTTGCTAATGTGGATAGAACAAACTCAAAAAAGCAAATAAGAGTCACAAGTAAGGCATGTCCACTTATACATTCATATAAATATTATCATAAAATAGTAAAAAGTCCATAGCATAGACACTTCGTGTATCGAGTACCCTTGAATTGTCTCGCCATATGGCAACAGTGTACCACAATGGAAAATGGCCCAAAAAAAGTTGTTTTTCTATTAAATTATGATTTTCTTTTCAACTGAAATGCATATTTATTTTAGAAATTGATGCATCCAATCTTAATTTCCATCTAAATCTGCCACACATACATACAGACACATATACACATGCACGCACACACACACACACACCCTCATTGTCATCACATGGAAGAGCCACTCTGCACTCATCCTATTGCCCTTTCCGTTAAATATTGCTGTATTAATTTTCTGAAAAGAATAAATAATTTTCTTATTAAAAAATAACAACAATTAAAATAAAATAAGATATCTACAAATAAAACATATATAATGGTAATATGCGGTAACAGTTTTTAAAAGTTTTGTGGTCTATGGCACATGAAATCTTTAATATTTCACTTCCTTTTTGCATGAGATATTTAAGTCTGTCATATATCACACTCAGTAAACTGTGAATGTGTGGTTAGATGTTTAGTGGTAGCTATGAGAGAAACTGCAGTTTGTTTTGGTCTGTTTTCAAGTTCATTGGCTCAGCATGTTAAAAGAACGGTTGTTACCTGTTATAGATTTTTATACCATTAGCATGAAATTGCACTACACTCATTATATCTCTTTTCTTTTCTTTTTTTTTTTACAATGTCCTTATTTATATATTGTATAGGTTGTATTTTATATATTTTAAACGGTATTTATCTGTATTATGTCTACTGTTAGTGTTAAGTGTTAACTGTATGCACCAAGGGTCTGAGAGTAACGCAGTTTCAATTCTCCGTGTGTATGTGCTGTACATGTGGCAGAATTGACAATAAAGCAGACTTTGACTTTTGACTTTGATACCAACAAACTAAAGGCTGCTCACTTTTGTCTGATTTGCTGTTCAGTCTCATGGACAGCTTTAAAAGGATGTTACTCTCAAAACTAAAAAATCAGTTTAATTTATGAATGATATGTGTAATTCATTTATTAGGAAATGCCCTTCGTGTAATTTCCAAACTCATATGACTATTTTTTTTCTGTGCAACGCAAAAGGAGATGTTTCACAGAATATCAGTGCTGTTCTTTTGCAACATTTTATTTGATATAAAAATATCTGATAGATGGTTTGAAATGAACAAGAATAATATATTTTTTTCTTTCGTCATCTAAAAGTGTTAAACACATGGACTTATTCTGCCATTTTATTATCTTCTACTCTTATCATATGTATAGCATTGCATAAAAGCAAGTATGCGCAGTGTGGGCTTTTATATTGTGGGGCCACAACACAACCATATTAGAGGCAACGCAAACAAAACACCACACTTTTCATAATGACACCAACATCCTGTGTGAGTTTTATACTAATGCTGCTAGGACCACAGCAGGGGCTCTTCCCATTATTCAGAAGCAGTGTTAACTTAACAGTTTAAAACGAGAGCAAGCTCAGAGCAAAACAATATTAATTTGTTTATTAATGTAATAATTACTAATGTTTATTAATCTAAAATATAAGTATTAACATATTTAGCTATAATGTAACATATTTTAGGTTCTTTTTCATCAGGCTCCGTGTCTTTTACTGGTTTCTTGCTCTTGATAATATTTTCATTTCTTTAACTGGGGACTCTTGACCTTATGCACACCATAATATTAATGCAAAAATCATGGCTGAAATCCAAAACATGATTTTTAAAAAATGAATAATAATAATAAAAATTATGTTGTATACAATTATTTAATAGGTGGTTTGAAATAATTGAGAATAACATTTTACATCTGCTTTTTGCATTTCAGACCTAATCTAATCTCAGTCTAACATAGACTTCAACTTCTTTCACTTCTTCTTTACATTTTCTGTTGATGTTAAAATTAGCTGTATTGGTTGTAATGGGCAGAAGTTAAACTGCAGTTTCCAGTGAGAAACTGTGACTCCACCACAACTGAAACAACTGGTTACTTTTATCTGGGTTGCTATTTAAGGTAAACTATTACATTTGTTTTGAATTAGAAATTATTTCATTGCAAATTGTTACAACTGTCAAGACAGACAACAAATGATGCTTATATCATGTATATTTCACAATAAATTATGCTTATACCGTGTACATTTAAACTTGATTTCTAAAAACACAGCTCACCTCAGAATGCTTGCTACAGATCTTCTTGTATTCAGCTCTATTCTATCAGGTTGGTACTTTTCATCCAATCTTAATTTCCATCCAAATCTGCCACACATACATACAGACACATATACACATGCACATGCACACACTCGTATCGTTAGTCACTGAAGGCTAACTCATCCTCATTGTCATCACATGGAAGAGCCACTCTGCACTCATCCTATTGGCCTTTCCGTTAAATATTGCTGTATTCATTTGCTGAAAAGAATAAATAATTTTCTTATTCATACAACTATACTACAATAAACACTTCAAATAAATAAATAACTGCAATCATATTATTGATGTTACTATATAGCATTTTCCAGACCAGATCTATTAAGAGAGCCATTAACATCATCAGAGACATTAGTCACCCCCAGCACAGCCTTTTCACACTCCTACCTTCAGATAATTGAGAATAACATTTTACTTCACTTCTGCTTTTTGCATTTCAGACCTAATCTAATCTCAGTCTAACATAGACCAGATTTTTTCACTTCTTCTTTACATTTTCTGTTGATGTTAAAATTAGCTGTATTGGTTGTGTAAGAGCCATATTTCATATTTCAGAATTTATAGTTTCACATTTTTATTATGTAAATTCGGTACAATAATTGTTCTTGTTAATAAGTCATTTACTGTTAAATATATTTATTTGGTTTATATTTCTTCTTACTGCGCATGTTCAGTGACGTCATTTTTTGTAGTTCACATAAAAAGATATTGACGCACATGCACAAGTTCAGACGAATGGTGGGAGAACACAAGCTTTTGACCGTTTCATAATTGTATATGATATAGCATAAATTGGCTTACAAGTATAGTATCTCTACAAATAAGTTGTTGAGAAGATATCGCTGAACAAGGGGATTATGCTGTATGTGAGAAATGTGATTCTTTATTGACTTGGAAGAATAAACCATGATAAAGGAAACTATGGACTTCAAGTGATGAATACAAGATAGGAGGATACGCGTCAAAACTTGTGAAATAACTAAAAGATATTCACATGTCCCGTACATGTAAGTCAAAAGCTTTCTCCGTTGTTTAAAGGGGTCATATGATGCGATTTCAATTTTTCCTTTCTCTTTGGAGTGTTACAAGCTCTTGGTGCATAAAGAAGATCTGTAAAGTTGCAAAGACTAAAGTCTCAAATCCAAAGAGATATTCTTTATAAAAGTTAAGAGTCAGTCACGCCTACCTAAAACGGCTCATTCTAACACACCCCCACATGTCTACATCACTATGTGGGAAGATTTGCATAACGCCGCCCAAATGTTCACGCAAAGAAAGAAGGCGTAACTTTTATTCTCGCTGTAGTATTGTTGCTGCCGCCGCCATGTCGTGAAGACGCTATGTGTTTCGTTTTTGAAAGCGAAACTACATTGTTTGGCCTTCCAAAAAAGGACGATATCTGCTTCGTCATGCCCTGGAGCTAACCGTGGTGGTTGCTTGAGGAAATACAACAAATTTGCGCTGTGGATCACCGGATCGGCTTTCAC